AAAAGACTAATAATTTTCTCTTGACTTTCACTCAGTGCTCTAGTAGCATGTTTTGTAACAATGTGTATATACACTTGTGTGTGCACATTTACAGACACACATGTATCTATGTAAAGTTAGAGATGGGCCCATTTATAAAAAGGAAAACAGCATTCAAGCTACCTAAGGGCAGTTTGTTCGCTTTCACTCCTCCCATGCCTATGGTTGCCAGCTGGTGTGTAGGAGACAGTAAATATTCTTTGAATAAATTATTTTATTGTCCAGATAACTGTTAGAATTTTGATCTAATACCTTACAGGTTTCCTCTCTATATATATATTTTTATCTATGTAGTTGAGATTATACTGTAAATAAACTACATGTTTTCTTTTTTTTTAAGATTTTATTTATTTATTTGTTTGTTTATTTATTTATTTATTTATTTATACAAGCACTGGGTACAGTCAGAAGCGTGGGAGGGTGAGAGAATTCACCAGAGCCAGAGCGGGGAACAGAACAGGCAGAGGGACTGAAATACACTGCTGAGGGGAGCAGTGGGCGCAGCAGGAGAGGTCTGCACGCCATGTGGGACCCTCACTGGTGGCCGGAGATAGAACCGGCATTGCAGAGGCTGCAGGCAGCTTCGCAGTCCAGTGCTCAACTGCTGCGCCACCAGGGGAGGCCCCTAAACTACATGCTTTCACCACATGATTATTTTTACCCATGTCACATGACATGTGAATTTTTTTTTTAAAGATTTATTTATTTATACAAGCACTGGGTACAGTCAGAAGCGCGGGAGGGTGAGAGAATTCACCAGAGCCAGAGTGGGGAACAGAACAGGCAGATGGACAAAGTACACTGCTGAGGGGAGCAGCGGGCGGCAGGAAAGGTCTTCTGAGCACCATGTGTGACCCTCCCAGGTAGCCGGGGATCGAACCGGCACTGCAGAGGCTGTGGGCAGCTTCACAGCCCAGCGCTCAACCGCTGCACCACCAGGGGAGGCCCCCAGACATGTGAATATTAATGCCACATAGTTTACTTGTTTCCCACAGGAAAAAGTCTTGGTACAACAATTTCCAGACTTTTTTGATGGCAATACCACAGTAAGAAATGTTCTACATACAGCACATCTACATACATGCATTGTTGGCTGTCCTTCATGATGGTAGAGATTTCTCTGTTTTGTTCATGACTTGATATTACTTGTCACATAGTAGGCAGTGTTCAATGAATGATAAATGAGTTAATGAATTATTATAAAAGACAGAGGGATGGTTTACAAAACAACACTTGCAGTCATATGTGGTGCACTTTGATATTTTCTAATTCACTGTTCACTTCCAGTACTGTATTTCTATTCAAATTCTGAACTTGACTCACCCACTAAATTGTTTTCATTCCTACTTGTGGGACATGTTTCATGGTTTGAAAAACAACTGTTTTTACTGTTTTTAGGTTTTCACAATTTTATGTAAAATTGGGATTTTTTGATTACCTTTCAGACCTTATCCTTAAGGCAAGGGACATTACTGGGTTGAAGGCTATATACCTGTTTTAAGGCTTTGATACAAATTGCCAAAATGCAGCTAGAAAAATTTTATTGCATTCTCACTATTAGTGTGTCAGAATATCCATCATTTTTTCTCTAAAATGCTTCTTTTGGTCTTCAAAAACGTGCTTAAATGTGTCTGTTGCTTTTCCAAAGACCTGGAAAACACAATTTCTGTCCTGTGTTCATCTTATTGTAATGGGGGAGAATGAAACAAGTAAATACCAAAATCCTCACATCCCTCTGTATCAGAAACTCATGATATTGTGTGAGATTGTGTTTGTATCACATTTTCCTTTTATGTGATCTTTTCAGATTCAGGAATACTGGGCCTTCAACCCATAGACTTTATCCCAAATGTCCCGCGACATTTGGTAGATGAGAGACAAGAAGAGATTCCTGTGGTCATTGCTGCATCTGAAGATAGGCTTGGGGGGGCCATTGCAGCCATAAACAGCATTCAGCACAATACTCGCTCCAATGTGGTTTTCTACATTGTTACACTCAATGGTACAGGAGACCATCTCCGGTGAGCTCTGCTCAGGCAGTTTTCTATATGTATATACTTTTCTTTATAATTGAGATTATACCTCATATAAACTGCATGTATGACATGTTTTCCCAATTGATTGTATCATAAGCATATCCCCATGATAGCAAAAACAATATAAGGAACTTATGCCAAAATGTAAATCAACTGTGTCCATATGCACTGTTGACTCACCTGCCTTTTTTTTTTTTTAAGGTTTTTTTTTTTTTAAACTTTTTTTTAGCAGTAGGACTTTCTAAGTGAAAGAAGCAGTTAAGTTCTATAGCACATGGACATATCCTGAATAGTTCTATTAGAGTGGAAAGGTATATGGGGGTAATGGCAAGATAGTGAAGGTGAGTTCAGATAGTAATCTAAATGCTGGCCCAGAGTGATTGTGGAATATCACCTAACCCCTGGGAGGCTGTTCCTCAGATGATAAATAAGAGGTGAAAATACCCAATTTAGAGAATGTCAGGTAAATAAGAAAATGTTTTGATACATCATAGTAATCACTCAGTAAAGGGTTTTTACTCTTATTACTGTGACTAATATTAGAAACCCATTATGATGGATAGTAATATCCATGTCTTGAAAATTTTTTGAATTAAGATTTACAAAAATTATTCCAGAAACAGCTTGTCTAGCAGGTTAATAGTTGTCAAAGTTCTGAAACCCTTCTGTCTTTGTGGTTTTCTCCCTGGTTGATGTTTAGTCAGAAAAATTATGAAATATTTTCCACATTTAAAAACCCAAGGAACCACCTGAATATAGAAAATAGAAGCAAATATTGCATTTAAAGTCTTTAGAAATAACATTGCAGTCACAAAATGCTGATTTGAAATGGGCCTAGGAAAACTGCAGTACTTCTTTAGGGAACACTTCTTTTATGGGCAGTACCTAAAGACACAGGTGGAGGTTACTTAGTCATCACAGTGAGTTAAAAAAGTGAGCCTATAGTTGAATGATTACTAGCTTTGTTGAAATTAGCTTTCACTGTCATCATACTTTCTTTACCCATGTGTTTGGGGCAACAAGTTTGGAAGGTGGTGTTGAAATAGTCTCAATTCCATAGTAACTTTCTCTACAGCAGTTTTAGTGTAAGAAAAGCAATTGTGTGAATGAACCTAATGGGAGCAATATCCATTACCATAGGATTTTGGTTTAGGGAGGGACTTTTGGTGGGAATATTCACTTCAAATGAGGAAACCAGGTTCAGGAGAAGGGGCTTGAAGACACCCATTTGGTCCCTAGAGTTTCTCTTATATTTGTCCTCATTGGAAGACAAAGGTAAGGCTGTAGTTTGGGGACATGATTATTAAAAACTGAAGTTTAGTGCTTTGTTTTCATTAGGTCCTGGCTCAACAGTGGTACCCTGAAAAGTATCAGGTACAAAATTGTGAATTTTGACACTAAACTTTTGGAAGGGAAAGTAAAGGAGGATCCTGACCAGGGGGAATCCATAAAACCAGTGAGTTCCATGCATCCTCATTTGTACTTGGGAATATTAGGAAATGATTAGGATACCCAGATAACTGTGGGTAAAGTGCAGGTAGTTCCCTGAAGACCAAACCTGGGAAGTTTTAAGAGACCTTTTGCTGTCTTCTCCATGGGTACTGAGAGCATTCTGGGGGTTTCTAGCAAATAAAAGCACAGCCACCAATGAATCGTTTGCCAGTGTATCTTTACTTTTTGTTTTCTAGTTAACCTTTGCAAGGTTCTACCTGCCAATTCTGGTTCCCAGCGCAAAGAAGGCTATATATATGGACGATGATGTTATTGTGCAAGGTACCAATGAATATCACTATCACTGCAGTGTGTCCTATGAAAGATCACCCTAGGAAGTGGAAGGAATAGGGAATCAAACTATCATTCTTATATGCCTCATCTATTTCAGGGGATATTATTGCCCTTTACAATACACCACTGAAGCCAGGACATGCAGCTGCATTTTCAGAAGACTGTGATTCAGCCTCTACCAAAGTTGTCATCCGTGGAGCAGGGAATCAGGTAAATTACCTGGTAGGCCCCTTGCACAGGCATTTTACTCCCATAATGCAAGTTAATGGAGAAGAGGCAGCAAAATCAGAAAACTTAAAAAAAAAAATCTCGCTGCCTTTTATATTTCTCAAAGAGTTCACTTCAAAAGCCAAGAATGCATCCTTATAGGTTGGTTCATGGACTTAACATCCTAACTCTCCTTGAACATCTGGCTTAATGTTTATTCTAGATTCCTATTCTAATGTAGAATCCCAGGTATCATATTTACTTGCTTTATTTTTTTTTAAAGATTTATTTTTATTTATTTACACAAGCACTGGGTACAGTCAGAAGCGCGGGAGGGTGAGAGAATTCACCAGAGCGGGGAATAGAACAGGCAATCTGACGAAACACACTGCTGAGGGGAGCAGCGGGCGCAGGAGAGGTCTGTTGCGCCATGTAGGACCCTTGCCAGCGGCTGGGGTTCAAACCAGCGCTGCAGAGGCTACGGGCAGCTTCGCAGCCCAGCACTCAACCACTGTACCACCAGGGAAGGCCCCCATATTTACTTGCTTTATATAGCACCCTTTACTCATGATCTGTCACAAGCTTAATCAGGTTTTTTTCTTTACTAGCTAATAAACTTTATGTCCTGTTGGAAGCAGTAGACATGCCATGTATCTCGTTTGTTTATAGTACAATTACATTGGATATCTTGACTATAAAAAGGAGAGAATTCGTAAGCTTTCCATGAAAGCCAGCACCTGCTCATTTAATCCTGGAGTTTTTGTTGCAAACTTGACAGAATGGAAAAGACAGAATATAACCAACCAACTGGAGAAATGGATGAAACTCAATATAGAGTAAGTAGCTGGTATAGCTGTGAGAATTCTTTTAACAGCAATTAGAATTTTTCACTGATTGTATTTATCTGTCAGAGAGGGACTATATAGCCGGACACTGGCTGGCAGCATCACAACACCTCCTCTGCTCATCGTATTTTATCAACAGCACTCCACCATTGACCCTATGTGGAATGTCCGCCACCTTGGTAAGTAGACATAATTAGCCAAAGGCCTAAGACTAATGAAGTCTCTAAAGAACTAGTGCAAGGATGTATTTATTTTTTCCCTAGTCTTCTGTGGCATTGTTTTGTGTTTGTTAGTACTACTATCATTTGGTTCTTTTTAATGATCATTTGGTTCTTTTTTCTCAATGTAAGGTTCTAGTGCTGGAAAACGATACTCACCCCAGTTTGTAAAGGCAGCCAAGTTACTCCACTGGAATGGACACTTTAAGCCATGGGGAAGAACTGCTTCTTATATTGATGTCTGGGAAAAATGGTATATTCCAGACCCAACAGGCAAATTCAGCCTAATTCGAAGACATATGGAGATCTCAAAAATAAAATAGAATTTATGCTGTATGCATTTCTCAGGAAATCCTGGAAGAGACGGTATGTGTGGGAAGTATCAGTTGCTAGGCTTCAATGCCTATATGCAGCAACCCATGGAAAATAAGATCTTTCAGCTGGGGGAAGAGGACAAACTGTCTCGTCTGGCCATCAGCTCCCCAGACTATAAGCGCGTTTCCATCTGCCTTACCAAATGTTTGTTTACTACAATGCTGAATGACCAGAAGTGAATGGACTGATATTACTGGTATAACACTACACTCAGTTTTAATTTTGTTACCTGTAAATAAAGGAAAAACTACTTTTCAAAAGGTATCAGATTTTCTGCTTCCAGGCTATTTCTTCTAACCAAAAGTGTACTGATTGTGAGAAATTGTCTTTTTATAGAATTCAGGCAACTTCTAAATTGCTCAGTATTTTTTAATGAACATAATACATATTCACAATATTTACAGGTTTTCATATCATACCAAAGTGGCACACACACACACCAGCTTAGCAGTCTGGTCAAAATGGTTTTTTAAGTCCTTATGAAGGACCAGGTTCTGTTTATACATAGTCTGTAGTGAAGTCATATGCATCTTCTTCTTCAGTCATTTTATCCAAGACAAAAGACTGAATGGTCCGCTCATCTGTATTAAAAAAGTGACAAAAACAGGTCAAAGCAATTCCATACCAGGCTGCTTTGCTATATAAGGCCCCTCCACTCTTACCCACCTGCTTTGGACTCCTTGGGCAGTACCTCGCAGGCCTTTTCTGCAGGGGAAATGTCTGAGCTCTTTTCCTATGAGACAAAAAGAAGGTTCGATTAGATGTTTACCTGTGGGATAAAGAAGCTGCTCTATTAGCTCGTCTACTCATTATTCCTTGGGATAAGTGAATGTACACAGGATGGGATGCATGAAATTAAGGATCACAAACTTCAATACTGAAGTTTTATGGGGCTTTTTGATAGACTAGTATTTAACGCCAGAAAATATAAGCTTCAGTAACTCAAATGGCCACTTACATCAGCTTCTTCAACACTTTCAAGGTCGTTATCAATGTCTTTGGAGTTCTCCCTCTCCTGCTTCCTCTCTATCCATTTGGGCAACTCTTCAGCTATGTCGTTTTCATCTATTATACCATGTGTCAGACCCGAAGACTGGAAAAGGATGCTGTTGGCTAAACGGGGGCCTCTAATGGCTAAGAAAGGAACAGTAAACAAATGAGACTTTGTTTGACCTGTCAGCCAATGAAGACAGCAGTCATACACAAGCCTTGCTTATTACCTTGAATGCTGTGTGCATTGTTCTTTTCCAGTTGTTCCAGATTAAGGCCACATTTCATGTATGTTACAATATTCTCATTGAAATGTGGAGAGAGACTCCAGGATGCAGGGGGATGGCAATGGTAACCTAAGGAGGCACTGGTATTGAAAACAGTATTTGTCAAAAATCTGCCTTTATTTTAGTCAGTCACCAAAATGACTACACAAACGAAGCCTTACCCTGTCCACTCTGACCACAGCAGTTTGGCAGCACCTTCCACATTTGGGCTTCCACCTTTTTGGTGCATTCCTCTTCTCTGAGCAAGCAAAGTGAAAAATTCCAGAGAGTCCTTAAAGTCCGGGACAGTAAATTTCAGAACTATCTTAAAATAAACAATGGAAGCTGTCATTCATCTATATAATGCGATTGTGAAAAAAACTTTTCAAAAACTTCTACTCAAAATGTTTATGATAAAAGAGAAAATGGAGTGCAAAGGACAAGAGGGAGGTGTGAGGTTCTCTTACCTGTCGAGTATCAGCCTGGGAGAGGATGGCACTAGCAGCCTCCACTGGCTTTAGTACTTCAATACTGGCTGGACTTCTCAGGGCAAGTGCAGTGGCAGAGTTAAGTGGAGACACAATGAAGCTTGGGCTGTCTATGATTGTGATGTGTTTGTCCAGAGGGACAACCTGCATGCTCCTGGAATAAGAGACATGGTGATTGATGACTTACTGCTTCATCTAAAGGACAAAAGACAACATGAAGCTCAGGGTTGGATTGAACAAACTCAGCACAGTCTGTCAGACCCAGTTTATCATCATTTGCTTCATGTTTATCTAAAACTTTCACAGTGCACTCTTCCCTTCTAAAAGATATACACTACATGTTATGGCTGATATAGACATAAACATGTTTCCCCTCCCAACTGGCAGACTTCCAGTCATTTCGATGCCAGGTCCAAGCACTTCCTCTGAGGTAACTTTTCCACTCTATTTGCTTCTCAAACTAGAGTGTGGACACCTTTAACACTCTAATCAATTCTTCAAGCTTAGCACTGACTTAATCCTCTTCCTCTCACTGACACTTCTACAGAAAGGATTACCTTTCTTAAGATATTCAAAACAAAGTATTTACTCATCTATAAAGAAATGTTAACAATTATTGAACAACTTGATGTACCTTGTAAGCCCCATAGATACACCGACATTACATATCCGTTCTTGTTTTAAGCTATTGATGATGCTGCTTTTTCCCACATTTGGGAAACCTACAAACAGGAAATCCAGACACAAAAGCGTTACATATATGCTGGCACTACTAAAATTCCCACCACCGTATTTTACACTTGCATGATGTTTAGAGCAAGATCAGAGTTGGATCTGAGCGTCTGCATTTGAACACTAAGCTCAATCTTAGCATCTTCATTTCTTGCACAATTTAATGAAAGAGCAGGAAGGGAGGACTAATTCAAATAAACCAAGAACTTCCAGAAGCCAATTTCCCACAGTGACCTGCTGGCAAAAACTGAATTAGGAAGCAATTACTTAAAATTTTTCTTTACATTTATGTTTGGTGAAGGGGGCTCCAAAAAGCTCTTTAAATGAGAAAGCCCATTTACTGAATTCCACCCTGCAAACATGGGGAAATTATTGGTACTTAAGAGTGAAACTTAAGATGTGTTGAACTGAAACTTACCAATTACTCCAACCTGAATAGCTTTGCCATAAGATTCCTGAAAATTTCCAAGAAGCTTCCAAAGGGATTCTTTCCCAATGCAGACTTCACTCTTGAATGAACGAGCTTTCTTCTTTACCTTTATATGATAAAATCCCAAATAATTAACTATTTCTTGACAAGTCACCAGATAAAATCCAAACTATCTGGCTTTCAGGGCCCAGCTATTAAAATCACCATAGTATGGACCTTTCAGATTATCTCTGGATGAAATCAGAGTTGGATCTTATAAATTTTCATTTTTCTTTAATCAAGATTTTGTATACTCATCATATTTCACCCATCAAAAAAATCTCAAAGAACTATACCTCCCACAACTATTGTAAAGGATACCTTGATTGTCTTCCTTTTGTCCTTCAAATTTGTTGAGGCTCTGAACACCACTGTAGGCAATTCTTTCTTTAAATAATTTAGCCAGTTTTCCAAACTCTCCTTTGGAACCAAATCTGAAAGGAATAAGTAATGAGATGCATGCATCAATTTGATCATATTCTTGAGATGAATTTACAAAATCTGGATTTCACACTGATATATGCCTTTTCACTGTTTTTTTGTTGTTGTTTGTTTTCTTTTTTTGCTGTCTCCTCCCGCCCCCTCCCCCAGCATGTAACTAGAAAACAGGAGAGTACGTTTCCTACCATTTGCCCTTATTACATTAAGGGCAAAATAAACCTCTATATTTCTCCAAATCCCATCAGCACTGTCCACCCTTTTCCAGAATTAAACCAATCTCTAGATTATTACCCTACAAACCTTAGAGTAGTTTGCAGAACTGACCCTGAGCCAGCAGTCATGTTTGCTAACCCCTTTTGAACCTCCCCCATGTTATATCCCATTCTTTTAAGTGCCACACGCTAACCAATTGCTCCACTGGAGCCACACCAGTATCTCATTCTATACTTGCCCCTTCACAGGACTTTCCTCTGAGTTTTCCTGTTTCAGTGGTTCAAACCCAGATATATCCCTGTGCATTTCATCTAAATAATGTCACATATGACCACTGTTTAAGTGTGGAAAATATGCCATAGTGTAATCACTTCTATGTGAAATGAAACACAGTAAGCTGTGTATACAAGGTTACACTCAAGAGAGTAAATACTGTTACTACTGAACAGCAAAATATAAGTATAAACCAGTCAAATCGCATGTAGAAAATACTTCCATCCCACTAACCAGCACTGTCATTGGCAACAAAAGAATATGCACTGGCTTTGTGGAGGTCAGAGTTGGATCTTATCAGTCTTCACAACAATCAGACTGTTTAGACGTCTTCCTCATACCTCACTAGTGCATATGGAACACAAAAGGTATGTATCCCATTTGCTCACCTGATTTATTTAATACAAGTACCAGCTTTTTCTGTTCACACCGAACAATGGCCTCTTCTACCTGGGGACACCTACAACCAAGAGGATCTCTGGCATCCAATACCTCTAACAGAACATCTGAGGCTTCAATCACCTGTCAAGGTAGAAACTATCAGAACAGCATTCCTTGCTCTGAGGAATACCCTCCTCACAAGTACAGTGGCATTATCTACCATGCAATAGGGTGAGCCCAGAGTTGGCGCTTATGTGTTCATTTGGTATTAAGAATATTCATATATCCATTTTTCACATAAGCTTGTTCAATGGCCTCTGGCCTTTCATCCAAGTAAATTTCAAAAGTGGATATACCCCTACTGTTTCAGTGTTCCAACAGTGACCTATGTAGTTTCGACAGACCCTCTGGTCATGCTGAGAATATTCTATTCACCGGGCATGAATGTGGGAAAATAGGTGATAGAGACAGGAGTGCTGGGCAACAACTACACCATGACACTCTCTTAAATTTATTCACTTAGATTTCAACATAGTACTTCATACTGCTTGTTCTTAAGTATTTTCTCTAGTCTAAAAACCATTGTGTAAAAAGAGATTTGAGGAAAAAAAAAGATAAAACCAATTTCAATGTGTAATTTTAATACAAGGTATAATGGGGACCTGTTCCTTTGCAAAAATTTAAAACCAAAAAATATTTCCTTTAGCTAAACATAACAGAAAATGCCCTTCAATAGGACAAGCCAATATGCTAAAAGCTTCTTCCAGCTCAAGTGAACTCTAGTGCAATGTTTATAAGGTTGAAGTCAATAATAATGACTTTGGCTTTTTTTTTTTTGATTTTTTTTAATAGAGGCATGTTTTATTTATTTGTTTGTTTGTTTGTTTGTTTATTTATACATGCACTGGGTACAGTCAGAAGCGCGGGAGGGTGAGAGAATTCACCAGAGCCAGAGCGGGGAGCAGAACAGGCAGAAGGACCAAAGTACACTGCTGAGGGGAGCAGCGGGCATCAGGAGAGGTCTGCGCGCCATGTGGGACCCTCCTCCAGTGGCCGGGGAGCAGCCGGGGATCGAACCGGTGCCGCAGAGGCGGCGGGCAGCTTCGCAACCCAGCGCTCAACCACTGCGCCACCGGGGAGGCCCGACTTTGGCTTCTTAACCCTCAATACCATTTTTAGACACTGACCTAGACTAAGGTACCTTTTTAAGTTCCTGACAGTATAATTTCTTTGGATTCTGTTTGCTGGATTTGGCTTTGTTCTTATTTTCACATTGCCCAAAATCCTGGAGGATAAAGAAAGGGGGAAAATACAAAGTTAAAAGTTCAGCAGTGGTGACATTTTTCTCCATTTTCCATGACTGCCAGAGCTGCATTGCAGTTGATATTTAAATATGTAATACAGACTCTTATTTTCCCAAGAAGTATATAGCAGCCCCTATCGAGTATATGCTTTTAACTCATACCTATTCACAGAGATCAAATCATACCTCCTTCATAGGTTCCTCATTACACGGCATAACACCAGAGTCAGTTTCAAGTTTTCTTCTCTTTTCCTGTTCCTTCTGCCTATCAAGTTTCTGCTGCTGTTTTAGTTCTTCAAGCTGTGTTCAAGCCATAAATGAATGAGCGAAAAGGATATGGTATTGTTATTTTTGAAGAAACACATATTCATACATCATATGTTAAAAATTTCAGTGAAATGTATCTTACCCTCTGTTTTCTTAGTTCTGCTTCCCGAAGAAGAGCCTCCTTAAATGGAGCACTATTTGGGACTCCTGGGTCTTTCCTAGGTTTCTTATGACCCCGTTTTTTAGCCTCCTTTCTCAATTTTCTATGGTGCTCTCGAACCTATCATGAAAGCAAACAAAATCTTTTTATCATTATACACAAATACTAAACAATTCATGTAAAAAAAAAATGTGGCTAGTTTAGTGTATCTATGAAATGAGCTAGAAAAAGGAAAATCTAATTGCAGGTCATATAAAGAACATGCAAAAAAAAGTCACCAGGAAGGGCCTCCCCTAGTGGCACAAGGTGTTAAGGCTCAGCACTCTGAAGCAATCTGCAGCCACCAAAGCTGGAGACCCACATGGCACAGCAGACCTATCCTGTCTGACTAGCTGCTCCCCTCAGAAGAGTATTTCAGTCATTCTGTCTGTTCTGCTCCCCACTCTGTCTCTGGAAAATCCTCTGACCCCCCCTCCCCCCACCTCTGGCCTACACCCCAGCTCTACTATGCATAAATAAATAAATCTTAAAAAAAAAAGTCACCAGTAAACTCTTGGCAGAGGTTATTAATACCTTGATCAAAGCTCACAGAATTGTTACCAATTATACTTTCCCACAACTGTATTCTCTATGTCTAAAAACTTGTGCCTATGGAAAAATGTATCAAACCCCCATTTCTTTAGGCAAAAATCATAGTAACCCAGACCTCCTAATCGACAATTAGAGCAGAAATGAATTTAGCATTCTATTTAACCCTCCCAAGCAAGCACAGAGACTTACCTTTTTTTGGATTTTATACCGCTTATGGCAGGTCATGCGTTTACTTGCTTTCTTTAACTCTACAAAAACAAAAATTACCGAAGGATTAGATTACACAAATCACCAGTTCACTTATTTCCTCGACTGCGCACAGGAGTCATGTACCTTTTTGAAAAAGTATCTCAACCTAGTTTAAGAATCTACTGGGCATGTTACAGCATTCTTCCCCACCCCCCCAACAGGCACACCGCAAAAACACAAATTACTCTGCAATCCCAGAGAATTTGATTTTCTAGACTCGGAGAAGAACCCAACCGCCCCGCTCCCACTCTTTCCATATTAAACCGGGATCACACACAGCAACTCCCTACCAAACCCCAGGTATTACAAGGTAGCAACGAACAGTGGCTTCGAGAGGCGTATTTCAGACCTCAACCGGGTCCAACGGAAAGTGGCTCCACGAAGGAAAGCGCTAGCCGTGAAATCTGACGCAGGTTTCCTCCACCTGTGGGGCCCAACCGTCCCTCCGCGGAAGGCCCGCGACTGACATTGGGCCTCCCACCATCGCTTCTGCGCGGGCTGGGCCGGCGGCCTAATCGCGGGGCCCCCTTTTCCTCAGCCGCAGAAGAGCCCCCTGGTTAGCTCATCGATCATCAGAGACAGAGGCTCCTCCACACCCGTCCCCCAAATCCACTTACTCGGGCGCTTCATGCTGGACCCCGAGAGAGCGGAGCGGGCACCGGCAGCAGACGCGGAACGTACAATGCGCCTCCGCCAGCGCCACGTGTGAACTGAGGCCTAGGGCGCGCGTCACGTACTCACGCTGCCGCCGTAAAGCGCGTCGCCTCCGGTCGGCGTGCGCGCGCACGTAGTGTCGCGCAGAGCCGGGTTCGCTTGGCGGCCGCGGATCAGGTTTTGCGGCGGCACCGGGAGGGGCGAGGGCGGTGAGGGCGGCCGGTGCTGGAGCGACGGCAGGCGGCGGCCGGAGGAGCAATAGCAGCAGCCGTGGCGGCCACGGGGCGGGGCGCGGCGGTCGGTGACCGCGGCCGGGGCTGCAGGCGGCGAAGCGGCTGGGTAAGGCCGGGCCCGGGGCGGGCGGGGCCGCTCCCCCTCGGCCAGCTGCCGGGCCTTTGTGTGGGCCCGGGCGGGCGGGAGCAGCGGCGGAGGCCCCGCCCCGGCCGTGGGGACGCACCGGCCGGGCTGGGTGCGCAGGACGGGGCGGGGCGCGGCGGTGAGGCTCGGGACCGGCCGGGCAGCCTGGCCGCACCTGCCGGCCGGGACAAAGGCGCGCCGCGGCCCGGAAACTCCCCGCGCCCCTCTTTCCCGCCCCCGGCAGCTGGCCGAGCGCTTGTCTGGGGCAGCTTCAAAGCTGTCAGCGTTTCCTTTAGCCCTCGGTACCCGTGACAGGTCGGCACAGCCTTTCATTTCCTCTACGGTCAGGGCCTCCTTTTTTGGTTGGTGCTTCCTGACAGTTCGGACGCAAACTCTTCTAGTGTGTGTGGGGTGTTTTTTTTTAACGCTTTCAAGAGATTGTACTCAAACCGAGCGTTTTTCTCAATGGGACTTTATAAAAGAAACCAGATATTTGATAGGAGGGAGGGAGGCGCACAGGGGACTGAGGTGAAGGTGCACGGGTGCATTGGGGAAGGAAACTCTATGGGGACTATACCTGAGGGGCTGGGGGGAAGCATATGTTGTTTAAAAATGAACACTAATGTAGAAAATTTTTTAATTAAATAATAAAAAAAAACATATTTAAGATTCCTATCTGCAACACCACAAAGAATTGAGGATGTAAAGCTGTGTATATTTCCTGGTTTTTAATATTTTTCCGTCTTTTAAAATTTTTAAGTGAAAGAGAAACATAGTTTTGTTATATTTGAGATTTAAAGGGGAAAAAGGGTTGGCAGAAATGTAGAAAAAATCCTGAAAAACAAATGACAAATGCACAGGGTAGGAGATGTAAAGATTGTTACTGTAATTATGGAGACGTGTTAAACTACGTGAACTTAACTTTGGAACGAACTAGGACACCTCAAAAATGAATTTTAAGTGTCCTTTTTTCCATTTGGTATTGTACTCTTTCCCAAGTAAATTCAGAAGCAAATTATATTCTGTACAAATACAAAACAGTAGTATAATTTTGCTTTGTTACTTGTTAGCAGATTGTCCATATTTTAAGATCCGAAGGAAGATTGGAAAGTTCTTTTTGAAAGAGTATTTCAAATTAAATCAGTAAAAGTTGTATGTGCGGATAAATGAAAGGGCCTTAACTACTTTCTTTGACTGTGGGAGTTTACAAAATACCTCAAATATTGATATTCTGTACAAATCTCCAAGAGTAATAGATTGTGATATATATCTATATCATAAACTACTATCAAGCCATTCATTAAACATAGGAAATTTGATCTTGGAAGAATCTTCCCTGAGTTAAGACACAAGCTGCAAAATAAATAAATGGTTTAACACTGTGTTTTTTTTTAAAGGCAACTAAGGCACAGAATAAGTATTAAAAGCTGTGAACACCAGTGTTAAGGGTAGTTTTTCTCTAGAAAGTAGAGTTGTGTTTTTTTTCCCTTTTAAGCCTTTTGTTTTCTAAAGTTATTTGTTTCAAGCATGTATTATAGTACCAAGTAATTGCTGTAAAAATAGTGTATAAACTAATACCCTAACAGCGTATAAACTTCAAAATATACTGTTTGGCTATACTGTGTAGGTAGTTTCCCAGTTGCATGGCATAAAGTTCTTGTTTTTTTTTAAAAGATTTATTTTTTATTTATTTATTTATTTAGTGGGACCCTCACAGGCAGCTGGGGAACAAACGGGCAGCCTTGCAGCCCAGTGCTCAACTGCTGTGCCACCAGGGGAGGCCCTATTTTTATTTATTTATGCATGCAAGAACTGGGGTGTAGGCCAGAGGTGTGGGGAGGTGAGAGGATTCACCAGAGACAGTGGGGAGCAAAACAGGCAAATCCACTGAAATACACTGCTGAGGGGAGCAGCAGCAAGACAGAAGAGGTCTGCTGGGCCATGTGGGTTAGCTTCCTGGCTGGAGATCGAACTCATGCTTCAGTGGCTGGTAATAGCTTGATAGCGGTGAGACTTTAACCCCTGCACCATCAGGGAGGCCCCCCATAAAGTAACTCTTTATCTTTGACTGTCAGATTTTTGTGTGACTAATCTCTGTGGCTTTAATATTTGTAATTGAGCTCTCGGATCTATTTCCATGCTCTTCAGTTGCTGAAGAGATGCAAACAGGGCTTTTAAAATGCCCTGACTTTTAAAAATTGTTCTATTTACACATTTTTTAATATGTTTATTAAAAGGTTAAATTGATCACTCAATACTAAATTCTATTCTACAAGCCTGGGCTACAAAAATGAATAAAATCCTATTCCTGCAAGGAAAGAGATTGCAGTCCTGGAGGTAAAACTTACCATTTTTTTTGTACTTTGACATTTCAAAGTGTTTTCATGTACATTTCACTGTCACAACAGTCTCATTTCAGAGATGAAGAAACATCTGAAAAGTGACTCTAGCAACATTTAACAGTTAATTAGCAGTGGAAGACCTGGGACTCTTAATTTGAGCTCAGGTCCTGTTGCTTTTCCACCCACCAGGCCACATTGCCTGTCTTGCCAAACTTCCAAAATTAATTTTAAACTGTATCCTTTGGATAAGAAAATATTTGAGAATGATCTTTAAAATGTGTCATTTTCTTACTAGAGTAAATTAGTGACACATGAACTTTTATAGTCTAAACTATATAACCAATGATTTTTTTGTCATTTGATTTTCAGTTATTTATAGAAGTAATTTTTATAAAAGTAAATTATAAAAGTGGATTATTTCTAAAAGTAAAATAATTGAGGGTTTATTTTTTGTTAACCTTTCTAAAGTTGTATGTGGTGTCTTTCCAATGCTGATAGGACTTTTGGACAGAAATGTTGTCTTTAAAATTTTTTAAAGGGTGTGGGGGGGCCGGGGGGGGGAGAGCAGTTTTCCAGTGTTTTTGCTCACATGAGCCATTCTTGGTTTGTCCCAGCTTGCCAACACTTGGTGTCACATGTGAATCTGTCACATGTGTTCACTTTCTTTTCCAGCTCTGTGATTGAACTCTGTTCTTATTGACTAGGGGGCAATTGTGCAGGCATGCTTCATTCCTGGAATTGACAATCATTCCATGTGAGTAAAGGGGAACCTCAGTGAGACACCTTTATGCATATAAAAGTATTTGGTTTTAAAGTGGAAGAAATGTCAGGTAATATTGGTGCCTGAGTCATTATAGCATTTTGGTTGGCACCAGAGAACTGTTAATGCTTGTTTTCTCCAGTTCTCTTACCTTTCTCTAAGCAGTTCTATCTGAATGTTTTCTATCCGTACTCATTTTTACTCCTTCTGACCCTTCTTTTTTATTTCCCCTTTCTCTGCCTTGTTCTTCTCTTTCAGTTTTGAATATACTAACATTGAATCAGCACTTCTAAAGCCCTGCCTTCTCCCACTGGCTTCACTTGGCCTTCAGACATAATGAGGAGACTGGCTTTTCGAGGCGCTGGTTGTGCTCTGGTAAAGCTGGTAAATTACTGATCATCTACAACCTTTTCCTTTTCTGTCCTTCCTTGCCTTTTCCCTTCTACCTTTCTTAAATTTTTGTTATACCTTCCATAAAGATTCCCTCCTCACATCAAATTCACTTAATGTCCTCCTCTAGATTATTTACAAAGGAGTAGTCCTTAGTTTCTTCTTCTTAATTAATTGAGGCCAGTTTACTAACCTTTTTAAAAAATAAATAAATAAATAAGCAAAACTTGGCTCTCCTTGACTTAGCCCCTTCAAAGCATTTTTGCCAGTGGTAGCCAATTGCAAAGTAATACACTGTGTAACAAACCAAAGCCTATAGAAAGAAAAGTCATCATGACAGGCTCTGTTTTTAAATACCATGTGGATTGTAATTCAGAGGAAGAGATAGATTCCTCTTGTTTCTTAATTGTTTACCAGGATTTTTTATTGGTTGTTTTGCTACTGTTTTGTGTTCCCTGGAGATCCACAGTTTTGCTCTCCATACTACTGGCAACCCATTCTTTCAACTGCTGGTATCTTAGTTTCCTGAAATTGAATGTTGATGAGTCCATTTTTTTCTTTTAGCTTTAGAGAAAGACATTTCAAATCACAATATACTATTTGATACTGTTTTTAAATTATATAAGCATTGTAGTACCTTCTTGTGTATATACCCTTTCTTCTTCAGCAGATCATTGCAATGGTTATGTTTCTTGTATTATAGTCAAATTATTTGTGAAATTGGATTAAGATTAATTACTTAGTAGCTTGTTTCTGAAAGGCCAGGCAGCATCTAAAGCTCACATTTGAAGTCCTTACAGATCATCTACTGAAACTTAAAGCTGTTTTTTCACACCCCACAGGAATTGAGTACCATATAACTGAAAAGGAGTTAATTTGGATTCACAAAAAAGTGTCAAAGCTCCCTTTACTACCTTAGTATCGGTATGTCAGGTCACATTAAGTGTTTTCTAGGGATAAGTTTTGTAGATCCTTTAATG